ATTGAAACTGTATCGCAATTTTGGAACTAAGGCGTAAAATGTTCTTACGTTAATGTTTTCAGCTTCTGACAAACCACATGTACAACGGTTAGGGATCATCGAACCACGCTTTTGGGACCATAGAGAACAATGCCCTTCCACTTCACGCAACATAATGTACTTACTCACTTAGTTGGCCAGGAGACCTGGCTTGTCACACCATCTGTATGTTTAAAACATGTCTAACTGCATTGGAAGGAGCATTTCTGTATTTCAATTTCTTTATTTCCAAATGCTAATAGCATAGGATGCAATATACATACAGGTAACCAATTCATCCATTGACTATAAGTATATATGTAGTATTAAACTGCGTTCATGGTAGTATGAAAGCAAGAGATCAGACATGTTCTACGTAATAAAAATTTTAAGAAGTGTGCATACCTAGGATTTAATTTATCACATCTAATTTCCTGTACCATATCCAGTAATTATTGAATACCGTCCCTAACAGTGGACGTAATACCCATGAAATAAATAAATAAATATGACACAGATATCCTACAGATTTGTGAATATCCAACGCATTTGATAAGCTCTATCGTTGAACAAGTAAAAACCATCTGAAATAGAAAATCATAAGGAGGAACAGTGATCTATTCACATTTTAAAATTCACGACGGGCTGTCGCCATTTAAAACCAATAAAGTCGTTTTGTTGTACTTTATATCTAACCGACCTGAACACATTATTACATTATACAAGTTTGACAATTAAAAGATACATTTGAATTCGTGAGTAATTATGCCATAGAACCTGTTTTCTTTTTATTGGAGTGTATAGTTGACCTGTTTCAAATGAGCAGAATTAATTTCTTTATTTCCACTGAATTGGAGGTTTCACAACCAGAACAATCTATTTTATGTTTTATCTTATTTTAATGTTTTGTAGACTCTATTCCAGAAAAGTTCAATAATATTTTTGAGAGCCGACGTCGTCCTTTCTTGTACTTTTCTAGTGAATTTCCTTTACCAGCGATACGGAGTCGTTTAATGTACTCTTTTTCCCATTTCATTTATCAGCGTTGTGGTATAAGTTGTAAGTCTTTTAGGTTATACAAAAATGGATTGCTTTATGGAATCAGAAAACGTAGCATTATTTAGAATAACTTATTTTAGTTTTTTTGCTTCACTGAACACCATAGGGAGGCCCGTCGCATGTTACCAGAATAGACACAACCACAACAACGCCGTCCAGTCCCTTTATCAGCTTCCTGAGAAATACACACCGTCACGGGTTGGGAGAGTCGAACCACGTACCTCGCATTACAGCACCGACTGTGAGATATCGCTGAATTACATGTATATATGCATACGGTCAATACTAAGCAAACATGATCTATCTATCATACGTGTGTTTATAATAATGAATCGAGAAAGTGCAAATAACGGCACGCTGTAAGTGAAATTCAAAATGCAGATGATCATACTCAGCTAATAGTACATGCCATATATGGGTATTACAGTACACGTGCTTCGAGAGAAGTTAAACACCGAGTTAAGTGAAAATCTTATACAGTGCACGGTAAACTGTAAGTGAAATTATATGCCATGTTTGGCTATTACAGCACTTGGACTTGGAGAGAATTTTAGGTAAACGTCAATAACTTTAACATTGATGATCAACAAAGTCCACTTAACAGTCAAGTATACACTGAACATATCACTTATCGAGTTAAACACAAATGTTACCTGTCGGCATTCTCGACGTTATCTGTCGACTGCCTGTCAACGTTACTTGTCGACAGCCTGTCAACGTTATCTATCGACTTCCTATCAACATAACCTGTCGACTGCCTGTCAACGTTATCTGTCGACTGCCTGTCAACGTTACCTGTCGACTACCTGTCAACGTTACCTGTCCAGTGTCTGTCAACGTTATCTGTCGACTGCCTGTCAACGTAACCTGTCGACTGCCTGTCAACGTTATCTGTCAACGTTACCTGTCGAGTGTCTGTCAACGTTACTTGTCTGCTGCCTGTCAACGTTATCTGTCGACTGCCTGTCAACGTTACCTGTCGACTGCCTGTCAACGTTATCTGTCAACGTTACTTGTCGACTTCCTATCAACAAAACCTGTCGACTGCCTGTCAACGTTATCTGTCGACTGCCTGTCAACGTTACCTGTCGACTACCTGTCAACGTTACCTGTCCAGTGTCTGTCAACGTTATCTGTCGACTGCCTGTCAACGTTATCTGTCGACGTTATCTGTCGACTGCCTGTCAACGTTATCTGTCGACGTTATCTGTCGACTGCCTGTCAACGTTATCTGTCAACGTTATCTGTCGACGTTATCTGTCGACTGCCTGTCAACGTTATCTGTCAACGTTACCTGTCGACGTTATCTGTCGACTGCCTGTCAACGTTATCTGTCGACTTTACCTGTCGACGTTACCTGTCGGCTGCCTGTCAACGTTATCTATCGACGTTATCTGTCAACTGCCTTTCAACTTTATCTGTCGATTGCCTGTCAACGTTACCTGTCAACGTTATCTGTCGACTGCCTGTCAACGTTATCTGTCGACGTTATCTGTCGACTGCCTGTCAACGTTATCTGTCAACGTTATCTGTCGACGTTATCTGTCGACTGCCTGTCAACGTTATCTGTCAACGTTACCTGTCGACGTTATCTGTCGACTGCCTGTCAACGTTATCTGTCGACTTTACCTGTCGACGTTACCTGTCGGCTGCCTGTCAACGTTATCTGTCGACGTTATCTGTCAACGTTATCTGTCGACTGCCTGTCAACGTTATCTATCGACGTTATCTGTCAACTGCCTTTCAACTTTATCTGTCGATTGCCTGTCAACGTTACCTGTCAACGTTATCTGTCGACTGTCTGTCGACGTTGCCGTAGCCACCGTTTCGCAATAATGCTTCTTGAGACTTTATTGGGTAATCAATCGCATTATTTTTTAACATGCAGTTATACCAATAATTTTGCCACTGAAGAGTTCTATGTGAAATCTCGTTGAATAAGTTTTCGTCTGAGACAGTACAAGCAGATAGATTGGCAGTTACGGCATAATAACATTTGACCTATTGGGCTGCGTATATCTACCACTTATTTTGTCGTGGTTATTTGAAAATCAATCATGTTTGTTTTTGTTTCTTACTAAAATAATTATAACAATAACATTGTTCTCAATAGAAGGAAACATTTCGAGTTTTAATGTGTGTGAGTACTTATCGCGGTTGCGTACAAGTGTGTCCCGCAAATACGTGTGCATGTTATGGTCGAATGGATTTGGTGCGTGACTGTCCTTGTATGGAAGATCGTGCACAACATCGTTGCAATAAAAGGTGTCATAATCATACCAGGTTCACACTCTCGGTATTTCTCGTTATAATTTAGGGCTAAGGCCTGACCTTTGGGTGTTGGTTAATCTAGAATAATTTTGTAATACTGATATAGAAACCGTGATCACCGCCATGTTTGTTGTCAATACAAGTCAGTCGAGACCTTCAATAACCTTTTATGACATCCCATATAATTTTCATTCAGGCTAAATCAAATAATGTTTTCACATTAAACGTAGTTGCTTTTTGAAGTGAAAATTTTGATTTATTTTGAGTATTAGATAGTCCTTAGAATGTCCCATCGAGTTTACGCACTGCGTCGTGCTGTAAAGATGGTGTTGTTGAGAACTATGGGATAGACTTGTGGTTGTCAAATTCTTGTGCGATAGGATATTGGGCATGTCTGATTGAGGCTCTTTAGTATACATGTGGTCTGTTCTTGTTTACCGTTTTCTCGTTTGGGAACGCTGCATTTACTTGGATTGAACAAAATTTAAATGACAGGTGTTAACGATGACACAGAAGATTTTTTTTTCGGAATACGTGTTTGATTAAGATTATGATATCTCGATTGTTGTTCCTTTTTCATAATTGGTGTAGTGTACGATATTCAGTAAACAAAATGACTGTTATAAACTCGTGTCTTTTGTTGACAAGAGAAAGCAAAAAAAAGGGAAACAAACAAAGAAGCGGATTAAATTAAAACTAGTTTGAAAATACGATTGATTGTATGAAACATGATAACGACAGCCAAACAGCAAAAATAATCAAATAGATCACCTCAAGCATATCTGTATAGGATTCTTGGCAACTGATAAAGCTTTAAAATTATTTTATGTTATTACACTTTGCTGCGTCAGGTAAACAGGTGTGATAATTACCATATAAATCATGAAGATGACAGAAATATGCATGCAGCAGCAATGTTGAATTCTTTATTTCGACATAAATACCCTTTCTGTCAAGCAACAACAAATCCTAAATCACTCTATACATCCCAATTTCTCAGCGCGAGTAAATCATATGGTAACGTACATGAAATGTATTCAAGTCCTGGAACGAATACGGCACCGTGTAATATGTTTAGAGAGAGTTCTGTAAGCAAGCTTATAATGACATTTTAAATCTGCCATCTCAGGTAGTTTAATATCTATTATATCATTATTATACTTGTCATCATGTTCTATTAGTTTTATGTGTTTTTTATTATAATCAGTTCGTGTGGTAGACACTTTTTAAGTATTATCCCTGATGGTGTGCTCTGTCTAACATTTAGCTGTATTGGCAATACATTGAATTAGATATTACAAGAAATTATTATCTATACTGAACTATGGTATGGCTGGAGACAATATATTTCCTTTATACGGATATTTCAATATTTACGTACAGGTTTTATTATAAAGCTTACAGTTAATGTCTCTTTCTTCCGATTTCTTACCGTGTCATTGAATACTCACTAATTATTAAACACATATCATGTAATGATTTTGCACTGAGGGTTCTCCATACCTGACCACCCGGCCATATATATAAAGCATGCCTTTTGTCGGGTAGCACTGTCATCGAAGCTAACTGGGTGTATCCAAGATCGCTGTGAAAAGGGATTATTTCAGGAACTTTTTCGTAATATCCAGAGAAAGATATCTTTTGGGTAGAAATCATCACAATGATGAGGAGTTTGTTCACACTGGTGCTGGTTTACGGTGTAATTCATGTAATCAAGGGCGGCGGTCGTAAGTAAAAACTTCAATGATTTTTACAACTTTTTAATTTTTTTTATTTCATTTTTAAAGTTAAATTTGCATCCGCCTTTCTATACATGACAGAAGATATTAATATTTTACGTGTGCTGAATGTGGTTGATTTTAGGCAATGTGAAATGGATCCTATTTATCTCGTACCATACCTATATTTTGTGCATTGAAGCATATTCTAAAGTGTAAAGTAAAATCGAACAAACGAAATGTGAAGTTTTGGTCTGAATATTTAATAGATTAGTTTGTAAAGTTAGTTAGTTAGTTAGTTAGTTAGTTAGTTAGGTAGTTAGTTAGTTAGTTAGTTAGTTAGTTAGTTAGTTAGTTAGTTAGTTAGTTAGTCAGTCAGTCAGTCAGTCAGTTAGTTAGTTAGGTAGTTAGTTAGTTAGTTAGTTAGTTAGTTAGTTAGTTAGTTAGTTAGTTAGTTAGTTAAACAATCTCTAATAATCAATTGCGTTGTTGCTAAAGTTATATTTTCTGATGTAAAAGTTAAATATGTTTTAGATTCAGAAAAGATTCCAGTTTGTATTTATGTGCTTCAATTTAAAGGAGAACAAATACGAATATAACCAGTCTTGCTACGTCATCAAATACCATTCTACTACACCCATATACAATCATTGCTGGAATTTTGTTTAAGATCTGATCAAATGCGGTCATCATTTTCCAATACATATGGGTATAAAAGGGCATTGATAAACACCGCGTTTAATTTGGTAATTTCTTCCTGTATGCTTTAAGCAAGTTCTCCTTTGGTAAACAAATTTAAATTGTTTCAAGGATATCAATTAGTTACAGTTAATAGGGTAACTCTAGATATGTTTAACCTGTTGTCTTATACATTTAAGTAGTCCCCCGGTGTCCCCTCTGATACTGCAGTACACATCGCTATACGCCAGATATTTTCAAATACAATAGGTGTCGAATCCTAACATACTACACCTTTGTTTTATATCTTGCGCGAGCTGTAGATTATACCGTAAAAGAATCAGTCATGCGTGTATAATTCATAGGTAAGACAGCCCAGAAGCATACCCAACCAATCAGCGCACGTAATGTGTTGTTCTTGTCGATTTCCCATTTTGTAAGAAAACACGGGACCTTTCTAGCTCCAACCAATCATCAGAGAGAATTCATTAAATTTCAGTCACAGAAACACCCCTACATCAGTGTCCTTCCCCGAAGTGAACAACGTCGGTATGCTATACACGATTTGTGTGTAAGTGAATTTATCACAGAACTTGTGGTATCTTAAACGGGAAAGTTCCCGGATACATTTTTAGCCCGCTTCTGGAAGAGAGATGTCTGTCGGTTTCATACTTTATGTTAAGTTTGTGTTGCAGGTGTTGACAGGCCCCAGTAAACTCCATTATAAGTGTACTAGGGTACTTATATTTGGATTGAGGGTAACTGTAAAAAAACAAGACAATAGCAATGTGTCAACAGAACTCAAATTCTGTCATATGATATCCTATTGAGGATATACCGCGTCGCGCATTTGCGGATTTCTCGCGAACGATTTTTTAAAATAAATTTTAGCGGCATTTCAGAAAAATATCAATATATCGCTTCATGAATTAAAATTCTGAAATGTATGCCTCTGATTCGTAAGTTTAACATTTTTTCGTTACAAACATATTTTTAGAAATTCTTAAGATGAAAATTTGTTGTCATTTTTTAGTTATTCGATTAGATTTTCAGATTACGTACAAGTCACGGCCCATTGCTTTGTTGTCTGTTTTATTTATTTTTCGTTTGCTTCTCCGTCAATGTTCATGTTTCTATAGCTAATCTGATCAGTTCCGTGTCAATAACTATCGGACTAAGTGATCCTTAGGTAATCGGCGTAATGACAATTGTTGTACTGTACAAGGTTATACAGACCTTCTCATTCGAAATTTATTCCATATCCCACTTAAATGACGATACAGTCAAGTGCACACACATTCATACGTATATATGAATATGCATGGAGATACTGAGTAACTCAAGTAAGACCATCTAATCTGACAGTTCATTTTATACCATGGCTACTTATATCCCCTTCAATGAACGCAGAGTAATTATTTTCTTATAATATTGCCATCATCTGTGCAAAGCCCATATTTCAGATGTTTGTCTACGCCACCCATAAAATGGCCCATGTACCACTAAAGTTTTATCATCGTTGAGATGTACCCGTTTCCTGGTGTACTAATTCCTATACGCCACAGGGCAGTAACTTCACACCTCGGCGGCTGGCCTTTCCTTTTATCCCACCTTCCCATCCATCAGAAAGGACATAATAATGGATGAACAATTATCAATTTATTATTAAGGGATGCTAAATATGATAATTTCCAAATTTCATTGTTGCTGCATGAAATTTACGGCCAAATATTTGTTTTTTAAAATGTACTGAGACTCATTAAAATGCAATAAGAGTGAGTGTTTTGGAAGGAAAATCACCTGCTTCGTCTGCGACATCCGCCTCGTAAACCTTGGTCAACAAAGTAAGTAATGTCACTTTCTCAAATGACAACTAAGTATACAATAACCAACCAAACAGGCAAATTAACGAGCATCAAACACGTCCATGTTCACATCGCATAAAGAAACCTTTTCCACTGAGATCATTATAACCACCGTAAAACTTTCCAACCATTTCCATCCACCTGCATCTGACGAAATCCTGTGGTGTGAGTTGCGTGTTAACGCTTTCGTTGATTTTGTTGTGTGGAAACGCTGTGGTATATTGTGTTGTGTGGTAATGCTGCGGTAGAATTTGTTGTGTGGTAATGCTGCGATAGATTTTGTTGTGTGGTAATGCTGTGGTAGATTGTGTTGCGTGGAAACGCTGTGGTAGATTGTGTTGCGTGGAAACTCTGTGGTAGATTTTTTGTTGTGTGGTAACGCTGTGGTAGATTGTGTTGCGTGGAAACGCTGTGGTAGATTTTGTTGTGTGGTAACGCTGTGGTAGATTGTGTTGTGTGGTAACGCTGTGGTAGATTTTGTTGTGTGGTAACGCTGTGGTAGATTTTGTTGTGTGGTAACGCTGTGGTATATTTTGTTGTGTGGTAACGCTGTGGTAGGTTTTGTTGTGTGGTAACGCTGTGGTAGGTTTTGTTGTGTGGTAATGCTGTGGTAGATTGTGTTGTGTGGTAACGCTGTGGTAGATTTTGTTGTGTGGTAACGCTGTGGTAGATTTTGTTGTGTAGTAACGCTGTGGTAGATTGTGTTGTGTGGTAACGCTGTGGTAGATTTTTTGTTGTGTGGTAACGCTGTGGTAGATTGTGTTGCGTGGAAACGCTGTGGTAGATTTTGTTGTGTGGTAACGCTGTGGTAGATTTTGTTGTGTGGTAACGCTGTGGTAGATTGTGTTGCGTGGAAACGCTGTGGTAGATTTTGTTGTGTGGTAACGCTGTGGTAGGTTTTGTTGTGTGGTAACGCTGTGGTAGATTGTGTTGTGTGGTAACGCTGTGGTAGATTGTGTTGCGTGGAAACGCTGTGGTAGATTTTGTTGTGTGGTAACGCTGTGGTAGGTTTTGTTGTGTGGTAACGCTGTGGTAGATTTTGTTGTGTGGTAACGCTGTGGTAGATTGTGTTGCGTGGTAACGCTGTGGTAGATTGTGTTGTGTGGTAACGCTGTGGTAGGTTTTGTTGTGTGGTAACGCTGTGGTAGATTTTGTTGTGTGGTAACGCTGTGGTAGATTTTTTGTTGTGTGGTAACGCTGTGGTAGATTTTGTTGTGTGGTAACGCTGTGGTAGATTTTGTTGTGTGGTAACGCTGTGGTAGATTTTGTTGTGTGGTAACGCTGTGGTAGATTTTTTGTTGTGTGGTAACGCTGTGGTAGATTGTGTTGTGTGGTAACGCTGTGGTAGATTGTGTTGTGTGGTAACGCTGTGGTCGATTTTGTTGTGTGGTAACGCTGTGGTAGATTGTGTTGTGTGGTAACGCTGTGGTAGATTTTGTTGTGTGGTAACGCTGTGGTAGATTTTGTTGTGTGGTAACGCTGTGGTAGATTTTTTGTTGTGTGGTAACGCTGTGGTAGGTTTTGTTGTGTGGTAACGCTGTGGTAGGTTTTGTTGTGTGGTAACGCTGTGGTAGATTGTGTTGTGTGGTAACGCTGTGGTAGATTGTGTTGTGTGGTAACGCTGTGGTAGATTGTGTTGTGTGGTAACGCTGTGGTAGATTGTGTTGTTTTGTGTTTACGCTTTTGAAGATTTTGTCAATGTTTTAACGTTTTTGTGAAATGTATCTTGGTATACCCTTCTCGCCCCTGAACCTTTCTTCCACACATGCCCATTCTCAACAAAAATAAGACCGGAGGGGAAGTAGTTATTATGCCAGTCATTAACAGCCATTCATTGTATGCGTGTTACAAGTGAAATAGTACCAATTTTAAGAGTGTTCTGAATAACTTGCTTTATGTTTTATACACTCCATATTTACTCTTTTAATATCACATTCACCTGTCAACAATTTTTTTATCGGATTTTCCTTTTACCCTCGACAATAATATGTTTCAATGAAAAACCACTGAGCCACCTACTCTGCTTTACCCCCAAGTCAATTGGTGTGATTGTAATAGCATTAGAAATAATTCCCTCTATATCATGTATATACACATCGACATTAAACGTTATTCAAACACTCAAAACACCATTGTAAGGTCAATACAGCTTAAATGACGTACGGTTCAGACCCATTTACAATCATCAACCATGACGTTTGACCGTCGAATTTAGTTGTACCGTGTTAAGTCTATAATTTGGAATGACATCTGTATGTATCTAGATGGCTCGGCCGTGGGGTGTTAGCCAAACAAAATAATATTTTCCATTTCTATCATAAACAGGTTGCGGTTTTTTGTGTTTGTGTACTTTGAAAGAAATGCTGTTCTCCAGTTATTTCTCGTGGTGCATTGACCGCCTCAACTTCTGGATTTTCATAATTTAATAGCAGAAAGACGTTTAAACCATGTGGATATTGACATTTA